CGTCTGTGCGACTCCGACTGGTCTGTCTCTCCTGCTAGACTCTGGGCTCCATTTTTTGTTGCGGTTGTTTTCAGGGGAAAGTCCTACATTTCTGTGCATACTTTGGTGTCTCCAAAACCTCTTAGCAAAAACCCTGGCACGCAGTAGGTCCTCATGAAGGTCCTTGTTCATTGCCAGATTGCTGAATGAGTGAGCTCTGGAAGCTTCCTCGATGTTCTGAGCTCTACCCACCTGCCCGCCCCACCACCCCGTAGCCTCGACCCGCCCCCTGCCCCTCGGGGTGGGAGGTTGGCTTCAGGGTCTCCCCCGCCTCTGCGAGCTCCCTGAAGGGAGAGCGTGGGGTGTTATTCAGCCATCGAAGGGACGGGCCACCATGAGCTGCCCCTTCACACCCGCTAGGGTTGCTATAACAACCACATAACAATGAAGACAGTGGTGACAATACTGAGGATAAAGCACAACAGAGTGAAACGAGTGAGTAGGTGGGGGAGTCGGAGCCCCACACAGCACGGCTGGCAGCGCGGCGGGGCAGTGCTGGGGACACAGCCGTGAGTTCCTCAAGCAGTTACACACCGACGGACGACTTACCGTGTGACCCAGCAGAAGTGACCGCAGGGGCTGGGACACATGCGTGTACACCAGCGTTCACAGCAGCACTACTCACAGAGCGCTCAGGTGCAAACAGCCCCACGTCCACCAACAGATCCCCAGACACACAGAATGTGGTCTACCCTGAGCTCCGTACGCAGCCACTTGGGGACTGCGGTGGCTTCTGCTGCATTCCATTCCAGTCCCATTCCATGGCCCTGGGCCCCCAGCAGGACGATTCTGGGGCCTGTGGACTCCCCTCAGCCCCATGGGGACTGTAGATTCAAACACTTGTCCTACCATTCCTCATGGGGACAGCCGAGGCCCCAGATGCCACATTCCCATCTGGGCCTCAGTCTCCTCATGAGGGGTGAGAGGGCAGAGTCACATAGCCCGTTGGCCTGGAAGCTGGGTCTTCGAGTGTCCAGAACCTGCACCCTCCCAGCCTGCCTCCTGTAGCCTCTGCCCCTCTGTCCTTCCCAGGATTCTGGGCTGCAGCGCCCAGGCCTGACGCACACAGCTGGCCCCACAGCCACATCTTATTCCCTGCTGCAGAGTGCCCTCTGCTGGACGGACTGGGAGTTGTCGGGACGCAGAAGAGGAATCTGGAACTGGGCAGACCCGCCAAGGTCAAGTACACCTTGGAGGGCCAGAGGCCAGGGACTAGCTGGGGAGGAAGAGTTGCTGTGGAAGTCCTGGGGACATGGGGGGCAGGAAGCACACTGAGGCAGGGAAAGACCTCCGATTTCTCAGGAGGGGCTGGTGTCACTGCCTCATGGTGCAGGAAGGACCTGGGACCCTGAGGCCAGGAAGGGAGGCAGGTGCCCAGGCTCCACGCTCAGGGTTTTGTCATTAGGTAAAAATGTGGTTGCCTGGAGGCCCAGGAAAGAGCTTTCAGGGCCCTGGGGCACTGGGTGTCACCAAGCCTCACCCCAGAACTGCCCTGGGTCCTCGTCTCAGGGCGTCCCTGAGACAGGGAGGGGAGCCATCCTTCATAGGGGCTCTGTGGACTTCCAGCCCTGGAGAGGCCACCTTGCTGCCATGCAGAGCCCTCAGAGCACAGGGTGCTGGGGGCGTCAGGCCTCCCCCACCCTCACCACAACTTCCAAAGTGCCCCTCCTGCCTGGCCCAGCTGCTGATCCCCAAACACAATTCCAATTCTGCCCACTAAGAAGAGAATGACCCCTTCATTCCCATATCTGCCCCCAAACACACACACAGATAAGAGGTCCCGGGAAGCCAGGGCTGAAAAGGTGGAGCTGTGAGGTCGCCTAACACCCACCCCCCATCAATTCCATGGAAAACTGAGGCCCAGGTGGGCGGCTCTTATCCAGGGACCATAACACGATGAGGACAAATCCAGATCCCAACTGGGCCCAGAGGGTGAATAGATTCCCCTTTTTATTCTCTGAAATACCACCACTCCCAGCAACAGCACCATCACCACCACCTCCACCATGGCCACCATCACCTTCTCAACTACCTTCACCACCACCTCTACCACCACCACCACCTCCACCATGGCCACCACCACCTTCTCAA